GACACAATTTTACAAATTCCTATTTCAATATTTCCGGCGATAGATGTCTATAAGTTATTATGAACACCTTCATACGGTTATAATTCAAAATCATGGCACTTGTTACACAAAAAATAATATTTAGAGGCTGGTAAAATTATCTCAGCCCTACATTAGGCTTGTTTTTAGTTTCAAGTAAAAACAGAGACTCAACAAGATTAAATGACTGTAGTTAAGACATTTTAAGGAAGGTAAGGGGTGGAGGAAAATTTGAGGGAGGGAGAAAAAGAGATAAATGGCGGTTGAGATGTGGGTGAAGATGAACGAGGAGCGACGGAGGTAGATGTGAGGATGGAGTTGTGATAGATCGAGGTATATAAAGATGGATGTGAAAAAAAGAGAGAGAAAGGGCAGAGCAATGAGAGGAGAGACAATGCAGAGGGGCGGGATGGATGGTGAGGGATAGAGGGTGGGAGGGATGGATAGGTGGGTGTCTCTAAATTCCAACCTCAGAGCCTGACTAATCACTTGACAGACAGCTAATGTGGTGCTGAGGCAGCTCTTGAATCACTGGCTGTCTTGGTTTCTTATGAATGAACAACACTACTGATTTCTGATCACTGACCTGGAATAAAGAAGAGCCAACATTACACATCATTTCATCATGTTTTGAATTGTATTAATTGGCTTTATATTTTGAAAATAGTTTTTTGTTCCAGTTTATCTTGAGATATTTGCCTTTTAAATGGCATATCATTTGAACTTAACCAACCAATTTTCAGGTAGGAAGATGTGGATAATTTTATATCTTTGTGTTTAAGGTATATAAGAAAAAAGGAAATTGTGTCTGTTTTGGAAAAAAATTTATTAATTGGGAAAATAATCAGTAATCAGTTATGAAAAAAATCATCAGCCTTACCATATTACCTGATATGTTACAGTTCAAATAAATAGCTAAATAGGTAGATAAAACATGGATAAGTGTATTTGCAAGGTTTGGGGTTTCATACAAAAGATGGAATTACTTATAGTACTGCAGTATAATACAGTTTTTGACTTATTCTTACATTTAAAGCAAAGTAACATGAGCGTAAATTCTCCACATTTTATCAGCTTTTACTGGCTTTGTTCCTTCTAAAGGCTTCAATATGGGAGCATTATTTAGGGCTATGTCCACAAATCTGCTCTCTCCGCTGGGAGCATTTACCACCCTGTGCGGGTCTGGCAGCTACTCTGGTTCTCCTCTTGGCTGACAAGGACTGGCAGCGCCTGTCTCCCCCAATTACACCTGATGGGGTCTGACCTGTAGAGCTGGGTTAACTGGTTGCTGGCTGAACACTCTCTGACCTCTGTCACTGTGTCTGCTTTGCCAGTATGGAAACTATCTGTGTGGTGGCATGCATCAGGCATATGTACTTACATAGCTTTTTCTTTTTAGTTTAAGCAGGTTTTAAGCAACACAATATCCCCAAATGTCTTGTACAAACTCTGATTTCTACAGACCACATACAGTGTAGTTGGGATATAATTGACCCAAAGGTGGAAAGAAGAGAGTTTTTCCCCTTTCCTCAGCCTGAATTTGAACTTGTGACCCATTTCTCACCTCTGGGCTTCCATGTCACCTGGTCATATATAAAACAACCTGTCAGTCTTTCTATTAGGCCTTTAAGCCTTTTAAAGGAAATCAAAGTCCCATTAACAGTGTTCTGACACCATACCACAACTAGTAGTAATCCTTTACTGAACTCTGACCCAGGCAGCACTCACTCTCTCTCTCTCTCTCTCTGCCGATTTGTGTGTCTCTTGCTCAACACCCAACACACACAATCATTGCTGGAAGTCTTACAAACACTTAAGGGATCAATGCTCTTAGAGTGATAATCTCCTCCTTGATAGAGGGTGAAAGCCTTCACTTAAGACAAGCAAAGAGTGACAGGGGACAGAGAGAGAGACAGCAGTAGAAAGAGATAAAGAGAGAGAGAAAGAGAGAAAATATAAAAATTGAGTTAAAAAAAAAAAAAGCTTGTCTAACCCTGAGAACAAACACACGCACAGATCAGGACAAGTGTCTCCTCTCAGCTGAAGTGACATCTATATCCCTGTCTTTATCGACAACTGGCTTAACTAAGAGCTCTTCTGGCAGGGAAAAGGTGACTGATTGTCCATCCACAGAATGAGAGAGAAAGGGAAGGGGAGTAGATAGAGGGTAAAATACTGAGAAAAAACCAAGACACAGAAAGAGTGAGAATTACAGACTGCACCGCTACCTCCATGACTGGGAGTGGAGTACTTGTAATATAGTACTGGCAATGCTAGTAGCACAGTCATAGTAAAAGCAATACAATCGTATTGCCAAAAAGGAGCATCGGTTTTGCTAAACCATTATGTTAAATGACAAGATTTTTATTTTTAATTTTAAATTTTTATTTCATTTACATCCAATGCCACTGTTTTTTTTTTTTTTAATTCTTGGTTTTCACAAAATATCTGTCCATGAAGACTATGGTATGGTTAAGATTAGGCTAAGATCATTCTTATGCCAAATAAAGAATGGTCATATATGGCTAAGTATGTTTAAAGTTAATAATTAAACATGTATTTAAGGTAAATGAAAGATCATTTTTACAGTTAATTAGCAGGGTTAGGTCTATGAAGGGATGCAAAATCCAGTCTCCTGTTACATGTCCATCCAACAACCCCAGCTCTACACCTTTGCACCTTTGTGAATACACCCCACACACTTATATTAGCCCAAGCTGAGAATACAGTGACCAGTGTTAGAGATGAAATAAAGCTAATAAAGAGGGAGTCTAATCTTTTAGTTCAGCAGTCAGTGCAGAGCTACTTTCATGCCTCATTTCACTACAATCCTTTTGAACTGGCTCTGCTTGTAGTTCAAACGCAGCTGTGTGAACATACACACAGATGCATGAACATACACTTGCTCTCTCATTGCCACACACATTATGCACATTCCCTCAGGTAAATGTATGTATCTCAGCCTTCTAATAGCCAGTCACATACACATCTCTGTTCAGCTGTGTATGATATTAATCAGATCAATTCTAAATCTCCTGGCTTTACATTACTAAAGCCCCTCCCCATGCCTCATTCTCCACCAACACTAATCCCCTCAGCCAGCTCTACGGCGCCTGTGTCAGGCTTCTTTTGCGGGAGGCCTGGGCACGCCGGAGAACAGGCACTGCCGGGGGCGATACACATCCCTCAGGTGAGCCTTTCATTATGGATGATGTTTCTGCCAAATTATTTAGACCCTGAGCCCCAGCATCAACCCCACCACACACACACACACACACACACACACTCCAAAACCCCACTCCTATCCCCCCCCATCCCTCCCTCTTTCTTTGCTGTACCACAAACACCACTAACACAAACATTAATCCTGCCTGATCACCTCAGTGTGTGCGTGTGTGTGTGTGTGTGCCTAGCAGTTCATTACTCCCTCTTTCTTTGTTTAGAGGAGGTAAACAAGAGAAAGCGTGACCCTTGTAGATTACAGATGGATGGAGGGAGGGGTAGCTAAGGATGCGGTAAATATTCATCATATGTATGCCACTGTTGCTCTCAGTGCCAGGTTTAGTGCCAGGTTGAGCGAAACTACCTTAACATCATTGGCTTCAGTAGTGTAGGATGTTAAAGTAGATTTGGCCGAGTGTGAGGTTGCCTGTGTGTGTGTATTCCTCAGAGGCCATTTGCTGCAGACTTGTTAGGAAAGAGACAGAGATGACAGTCTCCTGGCAATGTCTGACCTCGGCTTAGAGAGTGCAGAGCAGCTTTGGGATCAGAACACACACGCACACGCACACATTCACACACACACATTAATATATCCCCTTCTCTCCGTCCCTTAACTCATTTGGCTAGTTATCCCTCTACTTCCCTCCTTTCCCAAATCCCATGCTCCCTCTCTCTTCCTCAGCCTCAGCCTCCCTCCCACCTGTCCATCCGAAATGCTTCACGGTACCTGCTTCCCACTCTCTCCCACTTCAGCATCCTCCCACATCTCCTCCTTCTCATCCTTTCCTTCCTCTCTTCTCCCCTCCTCAGTTGATCTCTATCCCCTCCAACTCCCTCCTTTCCTTTCTGACCCTTCAAAGCTCCATCTGAAAGAAAAAAAAACTAAAAATCCTCCTTGAACCGATAAAAAAAAAAAAAAAAAAAGAATCACTCCCATTCCCTTCCAACTCCCAATCTCCTGCACTTATTTTCTCCCAGATAACCTCTTGGCTTGTTTCTATGTCCCAAAGCTAAACAAAATGCCTTTATTCCATCTCTTTAAATTTTACATGTGCTGCACCCATTGTACACCACTAGAGAGCAACGGCTAAATTTCAAAAATGTAAATTGTCAATATTAATTTTACATACCCAGCTCGTATTGATGTACCCCCTCTCACACCAATAGTTTATCAGGGGAGTGTGAGCTGGTCCTGCCAAGAAGTTTTTTTAAACTTAAGAGACAGATAATAGAGAGCGAGCCTGACTATGGTGAATCTCTCAAAACAAATATATGAACCTAAACTTATTACGCTTTTATTTACAGTTGTTTCGCATAAAAGGAAACTTGCATAGTTGTGTGTAAAAGCCTGAGGACCATACCGCCCCTCTTTCCTTCCTCCCTCACTTTCTCTTTTGTCCCTTCCAGACCAGTGGTCCCTTCCTTCCTCCCCTCCCACCTCCTCTCCCCCTCTTTCCTTTCCTCCTTTCCACCCCTCCCTCCTTCCTCTATAGATCTTTTACCAGTACCAGGACCCGGTTTTGCTCCCCTCTTCCTTCCATTTCCTTTCTCTCCCATCCTTCCTGCTTCTCTCTATCATAATGCATCACTTCAATCCTCTTCCTGTACTCCTACCTTGGGAGCAGTGACTTTTAGGGGGGCTGGAACAATTTGGACTTTGGAGACTTTGGCTAAGGCTGAGGAGGACCATGAACCACTATTTCCTCTTTTACTGTAGCTCCCCCTCAAGTCTTTCTGCTTTGGTGCCTTCAGAGACTCACCCAAGCTGAATAGGACCAGGAACTTGAGGCAGACGAACTCCCGTTGGTCCAGCTGCAGGGAGCGTAGCTTGCCCACTAGCTCCTGGGCGTGGCTCAACAGGTTATTGAGGGTGGCTCCCGCCTGTGATGCAATCACTGCATAGTCCACCTGGAATAAGCAAGGAGAGAGGGATGTAAAGAGATGTTCACCACCAAAGTGAGTAAGATTGGAGGTTACACAAACAGAGTTGCTCTGGAGGTAGATTTATGGATTAAAAGTAATGTGTGGAGTTTTTGACCATTAGTGTAGTCTATGTTGCATTCCACACCCAGTTAGCTATAGCTTTTTAGCAACTTGTATGGTAGCTTGGTTAGTTTGCTAGATAGATAATTTAGTATGTTTTGATGCAGCAGACTAAATACATATTAGGTTCCTCTTCTGTTACCTTTTTGCCTTTTTCACTTGGTTTCAGTATGTCTAACTGTGAATATTGCACAAATGATTGACAACTATACAACACATGACTGTACCCTGGACACATCACCACTGTGAGCTTGATGTAATACTTTTTTTTTCATCCCTGTGCCTGCTCTATTGCACTCTCAACTTGAAGTCAAAAGCTTTGGTCTGTCTGTCAGAGTGGGAGATGTGTAAAAGAAAAAGCAGCTGCAGGCAGTAGGTGTTTGCAGTTTAACAGTTTTGTATGACATGCTGTGGGTGTATGGACAGAGCATGGGAGTTCACCTCCAACTGACTAGAACTGCCAGATTTGAATTCTCTTTCTCTCTATAATAATAAAAAAAACATGCATGCTGGAACACAGCAGAACCGAGATAGATAGATAGATAGATAGATAGATAGATAGATAGATAGATAGAAAGATATAGATTTCCCCCAAACCCATATTTTTTTGGGTCTGACCCATCAGTCTAAGCACACACAAACACACACACACACACACACACACACACACACACACACACACACACACACACACACACACACACACACACACACACACACACACACACACACACACTCCTTTTTCAGGTGCACTTCATATCTGCAGCCGCAGCACATTTGTCTGGGAGGCAAGTCCTTAGCTGCCACTCAAAGTAAGCAGGACCATATTAAATTTTTATATTTATTGACAATTCATTACCATAATTGACTTCCAGGGGAAGGTAGATGTTGGTGTGCGCAGTTCCTAAAGCTCAGGGAGGAAGAGGGTCCCTCTGAGCCCCCATTTGCAATTAAAAACACCCCTGGATTTGGAATTTATTTATTGTGTAAATAGGATGATTGGAGCCTGTTTTTCATCTGTGTGAAGAAGGGAAGGGTCATAGTAAAGTGAATGTTAACAGTACACTATGTTTTTCTCGTCTCTTATCCTGTTCCCTTTCTCTTTTACTACACTACTGTACCAATTTCCCAGTTAATCCTTAACTCCTTTGTCCCACTCTCTTTCCTTCTTCCCACCTTCGAGACGGTAAGAGTTATGGCTCGGTGAAAAGCAGACACTGCCCCCCCTTCCAAGGTGTCAATCAATTTACATAAAATCAACTGTGCATGAAATAACTTCATTGAAGGATTGGACTGTTGATGGTGATGCCTTGGGTTATTGCCTTCTGGCCTTAAGTAAAAAGAGAGAGGAAAAAAAACGCTATAATGTCACTATAGCAGACTTAGCACTAACCCTGGTGACCTGCGTATCAGTCAATCAATCAATACTACTTTATTATCCCTCCCGGAGAGATATAGAGAGTAAATATATGAATAAACCTTCAAATCTTCACCCATCATGAATACGATTAACAATCTTAGCAGAACATTAAAGATGAATATGGAAGGTGAGATCGGTTTGATGCGTAGGGGGCTTTGATGTGTGTGGAAGATGGGGATGGAAAATGTACCTTGTTTGAAAGCACAGAAATCTGCGACTGGCCGGGGAACGTCTGTTTTTGCATTTCTTCATCATTTGAATTTCATGTACACCAGGAGCGCTGCGCTATCAAAATATCAGGATTTTTATACCGAAAACTGTCTGCCAAGCTGCGAGGCCTTGCTTAATCATTCAGCAGTTCAGTCCAATCTTTGTCATTTCATGTTTGCACACATTTGTATGTTTGATCCTGTGACAGGATAAAAGAACAAGTCTCCTTCTTCCACCGAAACCCCCCCCAAAAAAACACTCATGGCCATTTCTCACTGCTGTTGGTGACATGATGACATGCAGCAGTCCAAAGAAAGACAGAAAATAAGAAAAAGAGAAATTAGCAAGCGAGGATCATAAGAACAAGAGAAAGAGCAAGACAGAAACCGCCTGACAGGCTACAACAGTAAATCTGCCAGTCCCATAGATTTCTTTTCAAAGGTCAGTATGAGTGCACTGTGTGACTGACGAGAGCAAAGAAGCGGCTTGATTCAAAGCAAAAGGGGAGAAACATCTGTCTGAATTTCCATTTGAACAAACCTTCTCTAAAAAGAACTGAAAACTTCTGCCAACATAAGGACATTTAACTTCACAAATGTAGCTTTAACTACACATTAAAACAAAAAAGGTTCAACAAAAAGTTCCTCACAAATAACTCCCTCACTAAACATGAATGAGCTGTCAGCACTAGCTTTACTCAAGAACACGTCATGCAACTGATGATTGATCATCACACACTCTCTCCTGACTCAAAAAATCCACAGTTGGCTTCACACTCATCAAGTTCTTATACTGTAACCTCCCATAAACCAATATGATAAGCATATTGTAACAATTAAGCTATTAGCACAATGTGGCTAATGCACAGCCTAAACAGTCATTATGTGATTTGTTATGTGTGTGTGTGTGTGTGTTTGTAGCATTTGCTTTAGGTGAAACTGCTACTGTGTTCTAAATATCCCTGGTGTTATCGCTGTGCTGTCACCCCTGGCTAGGCAGAGAATAATAGGAAATAATGAACTGTTTCAGAGCCACACACACACACACGCACACACCCCACCCCCAACACCAGCTGTTCATTAACCAAAGTATGCAAACGAAACGGCCGTCCTGCGCCTCCCCTGATTATCAGCTCCTCCTCCTCCTCCTTACCGCTCCGGTCTCTTCAAACTGCCTCGTCCTCTATGCCTCATCATCCCCCCCCGATTTCAGCTCCTTCTTTCTCCCGTCTTGTCCCCTGCCACTTTTTCTCTCCTCCTGTCCTCTTTCTTCATCCTCACTTCTTCCGCTTCTTCTCTCCCTTCTACAAGCCAGCACCTCCTTACTTTCTTCACTTATCCCTTACTACTCACTCCTTGTCTCCCTCCTATCTTCCTTCTCTTTTCTCTTTCTTTCCTTTCCTCCTCTACTCCCATCGGTTTTCTATCGCTCCTCATTTTGTGCATCTATACTTCATTTCTGTCCTTCCTCCTCCATCGTTTCTCTCGCTCTCCACCACCTGTTACCCCAATACTTCCAACCTTCTCTTTGGCTCTTCCTCCTTCCATTCTTTCCTTTTTCTCTTCACCTCCTCACTTTAACATCACCTCCCTTCTACATCAAATCAATTTAGACTGGCTTAGACTGCCAGACTGTAACCAAAGTGTATACTGGTATAATATACTTGTTCAAGCTGAGTAGACATTTCTCCTCATAACTATGATATTATTATTTACCAAAGTTTGTATTACTTACCGCTAGAAGTACTTCTGCTTATTTACCACACTTCTTCACCTATTCTACCCCTGACCTTCTCTTCATTCAGAATCATGGAATTAAAGAACTTCCCTGTATACAGTCCACTGCTTCAATATTTATACCAGCATCTATTGTTGTAAAACATTTTGTTGAAGAGCAATGTTTTGGAGAGCCAGCCAATCAATAATTTATAACTTCTCGTCTCACTGACAGCCATGCCACTGGTCAGAGGCATTTTCATGATGAGCAGTTTCATGTCTTTGTGTGTGCATGACATTATGAAAATCACTGAATGCTGAAGAGGGCTTTGCTGCGCACTCTGGGTTCGTGCGTTCACTGTTCGACAGAGTGATTTGAGAGTGTGTTTGTGAATCAAAAATAGAAAACCGAATTACAGTATCCTGATGCGTTGAGGACCTCCATTTTGGGCCTCAGGCATCAGCTCCCACCAACTTCCTCAAACAGCCCGGTAACACAAAATAAACATACTTTGCCGCATTTTTTATCTGTCCTCCCACTCACTATGCTGCAGCATGCGTAACCCAGTGCTTTATTTATTCGCTGGTGGAGGAAAAAAGAAGCAAAATTGATTATTCTGGCGACATTAGTATTTATCTATAAGCATAATCTATTTTTAATGAAGCGGTGACTCCTGTGTGGCTGAGTGATCAATAACGCTTTAAGGGAAATGTTGAGGAATGAGTGATGCATGGTTGGCAGGGTTGTGGAGGAAAAAGGAAAGGGTAGAGGTAGCTGCAAGTTCCCAGGGTGTGGTTTAACCAACTCACCTGCTGGCCAGTGACCAATAGGATGGAGCCCTCCTTGGCATGCACCACCTGCCGGAAGACGTGGTCGAGGATGAGGAGTTCACTCCAGCAGTTCTGCAGTAGCTTCATCTGGTCGTCCACCTGGTAAAAAATACAGAAACACATCAGGTCAGTTACTTAAGCCTACTCCCCTTACAAAGCTGTAACAACAGTCTACGTTGGAGTGATTGAATGCCTGATCAATAGTAATATGTGCAGTCATCACTGCAGATTATATGCCTTTCACTGTCCCCTTTGATTGTATGACATGGCCTGTTGTCCCTGTAGAAGGTAAAATTTGTCGGTACAGATGAGTTTCAAAGTGACATCACTGTCGCACATGTGAGGGTTAAAAAACAAAACTGAGAGCAACATGAGATCAACATGGGGATCATGTTTTTGTGCCTTAAACTCCACAAAAGTAAAGAAAATGTTTAATATCCCATGAAGGATATAGCTCTGATTTATAGCTTTGATAGCTCAAAGTGCATAAATAGATAATAGCATCTCGCAATCTGGTCAGAGCTCTGGATTTTAACAAGATGGTTGATAGTTTTGCACAGAAACTTAATAAGTAGAAGTCTGTTTTGAAGTCACACTGTTAATGTGTGTTTATGGCTGTTTAATGAATACTACAATAGTTTATCAGGCTATGTGATCAGGACTTTGGTGTCCCGTTGGACATGAACACGAGGGCGAGGGCTGCCTATAAAACAACCTCTGAAAAGTAATCTTACTGGTTCCCTGTAGGTTCTTTATAAAATATTTATTAAAAATCATGAATTATGACATCATCTACTATTTCTACCGGTCCTTGAATTTATTCTGAACAGGGAACTATTCTATTCTTACCTATTGATATGTAAACTGTTGATTTACCCTGACATCACAAATCTCTGAACATTTATTGAACTTGGGGATAATATCATTATGAAATTGAAATGCTGGTCCCTAGATATCTTAATAATAAAAAAGCTCACTTTAGCAACAAGGTTTACTATTTTGTTATTTCAGTTTTAAATTTAAACAAATAACTGTTATATCCTGTTATATGTTGTAGATGAACGTTCACTCAAACACAGGATAAAATGTCCGTCTTACCCCCACAACAAAAAGTTGAGACACTGTTTCAGCCTTAGCAGCTTGTAAATATCACAGGCAGCTGTTTGCGAGGCAAGCTTGCTCACAGGTCAATCAGTTGCACACCATGGGCATTGTTTTTTCAACCTTACACAAAGCTCAGAAGTCCCCAGCACACACTCTGAAGCTTTCTCATGTGAACCTCTCCACACTCAGTTAAGCACTTTGCTACGTGCCTGATTTAACAATGTTGCCAGGTTTATCTGTTTGCACATTGCCAGCAGTTTCTGAGTGATTCCACAGATGATAATGATTAAGTAGCCATTTTTTTTTTTCTTCCTGAATGCCAGCCGCTGGCTCCCAGGGTCCTGCCAGGTGAGCTTGGGAAGCTGAGGCAGGTCAATCGGTGGTTCTCTACACCAAAACAACCCCCTCCATTGTAACTGTTAGTCTCTTCCCATGCTTGGCTGTGTTAATCATTACTCCACAAAGCCAGACGCAGGCAAAAAAGGACACACTGAGAAGGAAGGAATGAGGAAAATGTATGAGAGGTTCTTTCTTTTCCTCCCCCCCCCTCCTTTTCTATCAACAAACATTTGTGTTTCTCTTTGAGGTATCATAGGGAATAATGTGTCTTTGTGAATTACTTTGTTGCTTTGGGTCTGTGAGAACTGTCTGCAATGTTCATCACCAATGTCACTTCGTAGGGTGAAGAATGTGGATCGATGTTAAAACTGCAACACAGGCAGGTGCAGCATGAACACCGATAACAGGTATATTTCTTTTTGTGCTGTCTGGAAATTGTATAGGGATCCATCTGTTAAAATACATACATGTAGGTACCAATTTGATTTCAGCAACTGTAGCTTTAAACTTTATTACCTTGTATGAAAGAGATGTGGCCGAGTCTCAAGTCTATAGCTTGTTGATTATGATTGTTATGACTGCTGATTTGGAGCTGGTGTCAAACATTGTCTGTTTACCTTTAAGGCACACGTAACGATATTTGTGCCATAACACTGACCTATCAAAGCCACATCTCACACACTGTTGGAGGACATGAACACTTGGGCAGCCTGACTATGGTTGTCTTTAGCCACTGCTGCCATGTGGTAACTGTACTGGTTTAAGTAACTCTTAAGTTTTATGTTGACAGCAGCATGTGGAAACCAACCATATAACCTAGCCAGTATACTTTCTGTTAAGATTGGCTTTATTTCCTAATTTCTTTAGGAGTCCCATAGACTCCACTCTATGTGTAACAATAATAATAAAATTGGAAAATTAACCTTTTTTCCGACCTCATTAAAACCCTGGGGACCCCAAACAGACTATCGGGGTTACTAAAGGTCATTGTCTTCCCAACCATCGTGCCTATGTCACAACTATACTGAAATAAACTCTTCACAAAATATAAAAGATAAATAGTATGGTGAAAAAAACCTTTATATTCAATGCCTCACGTCTCCCACTTCTCTTTTATCAGTGAAATTCAACGGACAAAATACAACAAAGCTTCTGTGAACTTTTCTGACATTTTTGACAGCATCATAGACTCTTTCTGTGTCTCTCCTCCTCCTCCCTAAAATTCTATTTTTTTGTGGTCCCACACTGAAGGCGCCTCAAATACATGATGAAAAAATTCAAATGCCTTCATTAAAACCATCAGAGAGCAAGAAACACAGTCAAAGGAGGGAGTTCTCCATACTGCGCCCCAATCCTCTCTTTATTTCTCCATCTACCCTGGAAGCACGTGTAACAGTGCGTATGTGTGTGTGTGTGGACGGATGGGCACATGTAAGACCCAGGCTCTTCAAAGGACCCCCCTGCATGTCAGCGGTGCTGGCAAGTGTCGGGGTCCTCATCAAAGGGTTGTCCTCACTCTGCCTGCCTGGAAGCTCTTCTCTGACAAGAGGCCTGGGTCATCAAAGGGGGGCAGCTCAGAGGGGATGACGGCGGGTGATAGCAGCCTAGACGAGGGCTGGGGACACCCGCCTGGAAGAGGGGGACTGGTGACAGACAGACAGGCGTGAGGGCGGGCCAGGGGTTGGGGTTCAGTTCGCTGACCTTTTAAGTGCCAGCGACACGAGCTGTTTCCGTGACAAGCTCTTCCTTTGCTCTGTCAAATGAGCAACGCTCATGGCGCCTGATCTTACAAGATCTGCTGCCTGCTCTCTCAGATAATATGAACTTTCTGACACAGAGTCGACGACCGCTTCGTCTTCACGCCTTGAATAGTATTTTTGCAGCCACTACTGTTGGTAAAACATTAGCCGATTGCCAGTGACTGATTACAGCCTTTCTCAATTTGATTTATTCACAATATGACATTACAAAGTTCAAATGTTCAAAACCTCTCTTAAGCAATAAAACAGGTGATTTATTTAATCAGTCAATTCTTATCTCACTAGATGGTCATGGAAAATTTAGATAACACTGCCAGTTGCTAGTTTAATGTTTCCAGCGAAGTTGAAACAAACTTGTTGTTGTGTTGTTATTCCTTGAGTGTTTCTCGCTTCTTGATTTAGCAATGTGATACGCAATACACTTGTTATCACTGTTAGAGTATCATTGTTTGATTTTCATTTTTAAATGTATTACTAACATAATGAGTTCTGGTATAAGATCACTCAGTGTGATTTATTGACAGGGGTTTCAATGTTGCATCTTATGGTGGCAAAATGTTGTAAAATGTGTTTACTCTTTGCACATTAAAATAGCAATATGGTAAGTTGGGATCATGTTGGGTAGATAAATAGCTGTAGAGATTATTTCATTATTATTCATATCATGAATATGTATGTCTATTTTTTTCATGTTGGCTTAAGTGAGTGAGTGGAAAACATCCTGACTTACTTTTATTATATTATTATTATATTATTTTATTAGCATGATTCATGATTCGACATACATTGTTCACCATAGATTATACATGTTAACTACACTATAGCAGCAACTCATTAGGACGGGAATGTCATACATGCTCCAAGTTGTTATTTTGTTTCATTTTAACAATAGTTAGTAACATTATGTGTCCCCAGCCCAAAAAAGGCATATAAGTTTATAAGAGTAGCCTATTTATTTAGTTTTTATAAATGAACAATTCTTTAAAAAGCTTCCTTACAGCTTTACTTATTATTAATGACATTACAATTTCATGCAATTTTTTGCATGCATGTAATATAGCAACTGCACTGCCTTTAAAAATATATGACCATGTTCAAGTTTCTCATTTCTACAGTTTTCATTAATTTTGCTGAAGGAAATTAAATTTTATAAATAGAAAATAAGAAGAAATATAATTGTGTAAGTTAATTACTTTGAAGGGAAAGGTTTTCTTATTTTTAAGATAATACAGGATTTTTGCTCTGAATTTTTATTTCCAGGAGCAGCACACTCAAGGTTATGAAATTGGTAGGTTATACTAGTTAGTACAGTAGACAAAAAACAAAAACCCATTGCACTGAAAAATGCTTTTTAAAGCCTCATATTGTTAGTCTTTGTATGCTCACTATATATTTGCAAACCAACCAAATTTGCTGCTTGTAACATTAATGTTTCTCTTTCTCAAACTAGAGGTCTAAGTCTTGATCAAAATCTCAATCTAATAGTTAATTGGGTAAAGGTTAGCTGGCCATGACCTGATGTGAAAATGACACCTAATGATTTTGTGGTTTAGAGTCTAAATGTAACAATTTAGTTACACCGTACAAATTCACAGCAGAATTTTCAGCAACATAAGTGAATAAGTTTTCTACTTTTGCTTCCACTGTACGCATTTGGACAATCCCAAGTCTCCATCTGTCCTTGGATGGAGCAAAACTCATTATAAGGATTTAGCTTCTAAGGTCAGGCTGATGCAGAAAATACACTCCCCAGAAATTGCTTCAAACTGGCCTCAAAATCCACATTTAAGGCTACTTTTCAAGGTGTGATCTATTTAATATTTTAAAATCATCACCAGTGTTTGGTTAAAAAAATGAGAGAAATTTCAAGCAGGAACTTCTACTTGCAGCAGCCAG